TGGGCCCTCTCCGAAGAGATCCAGCAATAACAAGCCCACTGTCATCAATGTCTGTTCCTTCCCCTTCTTTAATTGGCAATTGCATTACAATTACTTGGAACAGAGTTATTATGTAGAAAACTTCCTCTATTTCCTTTGCCGGGTAAAAGAGCGATGAACGTGGTGGCTTTTGGATAATGAGTGGACACTTGTTTGGAGGTCGTTTTACAATCTTTCTCAAGGACAGTGCTGACCATTATCGGAATGGGGAGCAGGAGAGCCACTTCCACCTGCATTTGTGACCAGGGCTGCATCCTGCCTGGGTTCCTCCGTTCACTATTCTAACTGCGAAGCTGATCTGACAAGAACAAGAGAATCTCTTTTTTAGAAAGTTTTAATTCTGGATCTTAATCTCCTCTCACCCCCACACCTTGCTTTTGATCTATCTTTTATATAATGAGACGTCTTGGGCTTTTGCATCAGTTAAAGGGTGCCATTTCACAAAATACCCAGATGGTTGCACTTTTGAAGAGTAGCATTTTCAGATCCCACATCTATTCAGCCTTGACAGCAGGCTTAGTGAAGAATGTCTAAAGCCTCCTACAAAGAAAGCAAGCACAGCACAGAACTAGTGTTTCTCCCTTTGAAACCAGAGTTAGCCCTGAAAAGCAACCATTATGTGAGTAAGAGGGATGAAGAAGATAACCAGGGGCCAGAGGGTTCAGTAACAGAATGACTGAGTTCATCTCCTCAAGATAAATTTATGCCTTGGGTCTCACAGCTGAACGACTTACAAGGCTAAAGCATGGACGTTCTAAAGATACTGACTGCACTCTGGTTTTTTGCTCATTTTGCTCATTAAACTTTGTTTAAATGCAGCCCCATCAGACGGGGAACGAGAAGGGCCTCTGTGATATACCATCTATGTGTTGATTTTTAACCCGCTGTACAGAAAAGTCGTGGCGGGGTGGGTGAGGGGGGCAGAAAACCCTCTAATTACACATAAAAACTTGTTTCACAGAAGGGGCACATGGGGTGCCTGGCTGGCTCAGTTGGTAGAGCATACAACTCTTGATCTCAGGGCTGTGAGTTCAAGCCCCGCGTTGGGCAAGGAGCCTACATAAAATAAAAAATTTAAAAAAAGGCGGGGGGGGCACCTGGGTGGCTCAGTCGTTAAGCGTCCGCCTTTGGCTCAGGTCATGATCCCAGGGTCCTGGGATCAAGCCCCGCATGGGGCTCCCTGCTCCGCAGTAAGCCTGCTTCTCCCTCTCCCATTCCCCCCTGCTTGTATTCCCTCTCTTGCCGTGTCTCTCTGTCAAATAAATAAAAAATCTTTAAAAAATTTAAAATTTAAAAAAAAAGAGGGGTACAAAGCAATAGCAGACGTGAATGCTACCAAATGACTTTCCTCTTGCTGTTCAAAACAGACAGGTATTGTGTCCCATACTGGTTGATCCAGTCTTTGGTTTCATGGTTTTCTGCTCCTTAGGCCAGAATATTGGCCAGTCCTTTTCAGGAGTTGTAATTATTACACATTGTGCCTTCAGGGCATGAAGTACCGAAGAAGCTTCAAGTCTGGGGATTGTGGGTTTGGAAACGGTAACCACAGGATTCAGCTTAGTTTATACCATCTACCAGCAACTGATCTATTCTTTTTAAAAATACAGAAATTAATCCAATGACTCCTTTTGTGTTCCTATCAGAGTTTTAAAACAGCAATAACAACTTGATTGTACTCTTCACTCAGAGGGAACTTTGCACTTTAAAGACATGAAACGTTTTGTAGAGCAGAACATTCTTTGAAAGCTCTGGGTGGAAGAAAGCACTTGCTTAAGGAACTTAATTGAGAGAAACAGTGCAGCCTGGACAGTATTGCCTGAGTTCAAAGGCACCGCTTTTAATCCCAAACCTTTTTAATTTTACTTAACTTTTATTTCTTTCTGGGTGACTAAACTGCAAACTTCTATTAATCTACTGCCAAGTAATTTTTCTTAAGAAGGTGGATACTTTACAAGATTCATAGCCAGGAGCCCTCTGTCAGGAATGCTGGTGGTACAGTTTTGTGTAGGTAAAAACAGAGGCCCAGGAGAGGTCACTCTGTTTTTTGTTTTTGTTTTTTTTTTTAAAGATTTTATTTATTTATTTGAGAGAGAGAGAATGAGAGATAGAGAGCACGAGAGGGAAGAGGGTCAGAGGGAGAAGCAGACTCCCTGCCGAGTAGGGAGCCCAACACGGGACTTGATCCCAGGACTCCAGGATCATGACATGAGCCAAAGGCAGTTGCTTAACCAACTGAGCCACCCAGGCGCCCACTCTGTTTTGTACGTGGAACAGACTCTATCTCTGGCAAGTTTGCTGCGATTGAAAACAATAAGGCACTCCTTTAAGTCTGGAAAATGTAGTGCCCCTGGCAATACAGGATCTTGGAGAGTGAAGCCTAGTGTTTTCATAGTTGAGATTTTGTGTTAGTAGAACAGCCAGAATGTCAACTGTTGCAGGGAGAATCATCCAACTCACACATATGTGTCCGGAAAGAAAGCTGAGCTTCAGGAGATGACATTTAACATTTTGGGGGCGGGGGGGGGGCGGAGGGATGAATAAGAAGAATGCAGGAAAGGCCTACTGCAGCCAAGAAGTAAGTGGCTATTGGAAGAATCACATTAGCAAAACTGCTCTTCCTTTTACTCTAGTATAAGACACCTGGTAACACAGCTTTCAGACTTTCACACTATGTGATTCTTTTTTTTTTTTGTATGGCCCATTCTAGAGTTAAAGAACTTATAAAATGACCAGGTAAAATACCCTCAACAGAAGTAATTTCTTGAAAACAGCAAACAATGAGATGGGTCAGCTTTTTTTGGCCAGTCTATCTTCATAAAATGAATCATACTGTATTTGATTATTTTGAGATCAACAGTGCAGCCACCTTTTTTCTTGACATTTATTTTCTAGGGAAAAAAACGGATTTATTGTGATGATTGTACTCTCATCTTTTTGTAACTTCTAGTCTTTCTACAGTCTTACAAATAACAACTTACCTGTATTGTTCTGCTCCCTTTTTCTTTTCCATGGACCGAAGTATTAATATTAATTGGCTTTAATAAGTGTTCCAGGAAAATTAAGAAAAAAGACATAATCTGGTTTATTAAATGTTATATTGACATTGTTTAGCACACCGTCCTGGAAAACTGGCACTATTGAATAAGAAATAGCAATTGAAAATCAACTGGCAAATCAACCAACTTAACATGGCATGATCATGAGCCAGTAAAGAAAATGTACCACCTCATACCCGTTAGGATGTCTACTATCAAAAAGTCAAAAAATAAGTGTTGGCAAGGATGTGGAAAAATTGGAACACTTGTGCATTGCAGATGAGAATGTAAAATGGTAATAGCCAGTATGGAAAACAGTATGGTAGATCCTCAAAAAATGAAAAATAGAATTACCATATGATAGAGTAATTTCTCTTCAGCATTTCTATCCCAAAAGAATGGAAGACAGGGTCTCAACGAGATATTTGTACACCCATGTCCAAAGAAGCATTATTCAAATAGCCAAAAGGTGGAAGTAACCCAAGTGTCCATCTACAGACGAATGGATAAACCAAATGTGGTATATACATAAAATGGAGTATTACTCAGCCTTAAAGAGGAAGGAAATTCTGACACATGTGGCAACACAGAAGAAGCTTAAGGACATTATACTAGGTGACATAAGCCGATCATAAAAGGACAAATACTGCATGATGCCACTTCTATGAGAGACCTAGAGAAGTCAAATTCCATAGAGACAGAAAGTAGAGTGGTGGTTGCCACAAGCTGGGACAGTGGGGAACTGCTGAATGGGTACAGAGTTTCAGCTGAGAAAGATGAGAAAGTTCTGGAGATGGACGGTGGTAGTAGTTGCACAACACTGTGAATGTACTTAATGCCACTGAACCGTACACTTAGAAATATGGTTAAAATAGTACATTTTATGTCATGTATTTTTTTTCACAAGGAAAAATAAAGAAAATATTAGATCAGGAAGTTAGTTACCTTTTAAAAAAAAAGAACAGAGTAGGGTAACAGGCACATGATGCCTCCTTCAGTGGACTTATATTCTCTGTCATTGTCACTTGCCTGCTGTAGGAGCCAGTGAAGTTTTTTGTTTGAGTTTTAAATTACTTCAGGCCCACACCTTTCCCTTGCCCCTTGTCTGAGAAAGAATTCTCCACCCCTCTGACCTTCATTGTAGGGGTCAACCAGAGATGTATAGAGCCATCTGGTTGAGAAACATCGATTACATGAATATCCTTATAAAATGCTCAGATTGAATCTGTGAACAAATTGTCTTTTATCATCTTGGTGCAAGGACTGTGGGAATGGAAATTAAAGGTGCAGAGGAGAATGGGACCAGAGAACTCTAGAACTGTGAACTGTTTTGCCCCAGAGGCTTTGCCCCAAATGATAACAATGACCTACTCGATCAAGAAACAGGTGAATCCTTACCAGGGCAAGGAGTTTTAATTTTAAGAGGAACCTCATGACGTTTTAGTTTGTTTTCATAAAGCCTTACCTTGTAAGAGCTGTCCCTGGAAAAAAAAATGTAATTATGCAGGATTCACAAGAGGTTTGGGCTAGGTTGGGTTGGTTTTGTCTCCCCGATTTCTAAGCAAATGATGCAGACTAAGATAGAAGTGAATTGTTTCCTCACCCCTCAGCAACCTACCAGAATTCAAGCCATCCCAGATTTGAGGAGGAAGTTGAACATGGGACATTACACTGGCTTCGATAGCTGTACACATTGTTCTGCTTCTAAAATGTCACTAGATATGCTTTAATATGGTATTGAACAAAAATGAGAGGTCTGTGATTCTGTATATTAGAGCTATGGCAACTGGTATGTTTGCATCAGGGGCCTACCTCCCCAGACTGAAAGGATGAGGCCTCCTATGGTCACACTCACCAGGAAAACTAGAAATGCTTTTGCATCGAGAAAGGGCCTTGAACTAACTCTCCTTTGTCTATTCCTCCAAGCTTCCGCAGGTTCACTCGATCCAACAGTGTGACGACAGCTGTACAGGCCGACCTGGACTTCCACGATAATCTGGAAAACTCTCTGGAGTCTATAGAGGACAATTCGTGCCCTGGCCCAATGGCCAGACAGTTCTCCCGGGACGCCAGCACCTCCACGGTCAGCATTCAGGGCTCAGGAAACCACTACCACGCCTGCGCTGCCGACGACGACTTTGATGCGGATTTTGACCCTTCGATTCTGCCTCCCCCGGATCCCTGGATTGACTCGATCACTGAAGACCCCCTGGAGGCCGTCCAAAGGTCAGTGTGCCACCGGGATGGCCACTGGTTTCTGAAGCTTCTCCAGGCAGAGCGGGACCGCATGGAAGGGTGGTGCCAGCAGATGGAGAGAGAAGAGCGGGAAAACAACCTGCCGGAAGACAGTAAGTAATGGCCGCTGTGCACGCCTGCGCACCCGGCGCTTCCGGGCTGGGCTGACGCGGCGTCTGTGGACGTCGTGGTTCCTCCCTTGCCTGGTTCGCTTGTCTAGCTGCGGGTCCACATTCCCGCTGCGACGTGTGGGACAGTGGGGCGGTTTTGGCTGCGCGTCCAGCCGCCCCCCGCGCTGCCCAGTGGAGAGAAAACCAGTGGGCAGAGCCTTAGCTAGCTCTAGCCGGGTGCCCGCTAGCTCTGGATCTTTTCTTCTCTGAAAAGGACCAAGCTCAACGTGGGGGTGGCCTCCAGTTTCTACACCGTTTCCTCTTTCCCAAGAAATTTCTGAAGGGGCGCTGATTCTCAGGGAATTAAATGCCCAGTGCATCGGTCCACGTATTAGAACAAGGCCAATAATGCGTACGCCAGTAGAGACCATGCTTATTCACATTCATAAACCCGTTTAGCATGCACTTTCTCTCATGGGATTCAGGGAGGCAAACCTTCAGCCACTAAATGAATTAACACAAATTTCAACTTACCGGGGTTGAAATAAGTGGTAAAATACGATGAATAAGTAAGATAAGTAACGGAGGCCTTGCACACCATTATTTACAAACTTTGCTTTTTAACACAACAATCATTCCTATTAACAATTGACAGCAATAGGTAGCTGGCTGGGCTGGTTGGCTGGCTCAGTTGGTTGAGGGTGGGAGTCTTGATCTCAGGGTCGTGAGTTCAAGCCCCATGTTGGGCATAGAGCTTACTTAAAAAAAAAAAGTAAATAATTGACAACAAAATGACCAGGTTACCTCAATTCTGAGGCATGTTTTCCACATTTTCAACAATTCTGAAATTGGGATATAGTTTATAATCAGTGTGTATTTTAATGCTGTGTGTTTGTTTTCCTCTGAAAAACTATTATTAAATGAGTGGTGGATCTTCCAACTGATGATATTTTTGAATCAAAGAAATTTAGGCATTTAGGGGTAGGCATTTAAGCCTGCCTTCATTTTTGCATGGGAACCACCTAGAAGAGTATTGTCATGATGTGACTTTGGGGGCCTATTTTTTAAATCATTTAACTTTTTCTTGTAAAAAAAGAAAAACATGCACAAAAGTATACAGTTTAGTACAATGAACCCTCATGTACCCATCACCCAAAACAACGGGCCAGTCTCCTTTTCTTATCTTCCCCACTTGTCGTTTTTGCCAGATTATCTTTAAGTCCAAGGCATGCATCATGGCACTTTACTATGTATCCACTGATAAGGATTTTTTTTTACATAATCATCATATATTATCATCCCTAATAAAAATATCAATAATTTCTTAGTAATTACACCCTGAGCCTATGTTAAATAGACTTACTAAATGAACCAAACTAATTATGTCAAGGGCCAGTGAGTTTTCCATAAAGGAAGTATTTCTTATGAAAACTGAGTCTGGAAAATAACAATTAGCAGGTTGTGGGATTTCCTTGCTGTGTCTTCCTCTCAGCTCTTCTGTGCATTCATTCCTCCTGCCTGAACCCTATCCACTGGCTGACTAGCTTATGTGTTGTCTTTATGAACAGGTCAGAAAATCCATAAGTAGTTTTCGGTAATGTTCCTTTTTTCCTTTCATGTTATAAATGCAAACAACTTAGCAGTGGAAAAGTAAATCTCCTTGACACTTGCCCCTAACAGTTGGTGCCTCTGCAAGTTCACCTGAGTATTGATCCACAAGCAGAATTAGCTTTTTGCCCTGGTGACAGGTGAAGGAGGCACCACTCAGCAGCAATGGATGGGGTAATTTTCACTAAGAAGTCTTAGCAGTTGCATCTTCTTATTCTCCTTTCCCCTTGTGGGTATACCCAAAGCTTATTCGATTTTCCTAGGAAAAATGCTAGTGTCTAAGGAGCAACAGCCTCTGGTGCACTGCTCAACAGAACAAGCTGATTTTCAGATTTCAGTGCCTTCAACTCATTAATTTGGGACTCATTCTAGTTTCCTGGTTGACTTCCAATAGGATCCAGGAAAGCTGCTCGTCTGTTTTCTTTTAATCTGTTTTTTTTTCCCCCATCTAAGACTGTATCTACTTCTCTCAACCCAGCTTTATAATGATGCATGAGAATTGTCATTGTATAAAAATTTAGGAAAATCTTATGTGATGCTAAAGGAGCTATGAAAACAAGTTAATGTGTTTTGACACAAGCACATGTCTTTGAAAGGTGAAAATTTTGTCAGAAAACCAGATTCTCATCTTGTGTTTGGGATGGAAGAGAAGCATTTTTGTATTTTGAAATGTACACTATTGGAAAAGTCTCGAGGTAATGAACATGAAGGAGCAACCCATTCATTCACTGTTATAGAATTTTACTTCATGTGTTACTTAAAATATTGATTTATGAAGAGGACTTAACAAATCTATCCCATATGAAGGTATTTTGCTATAACAAGATTTGTTCTAAAGAATAATAATTGCTGCCTTTGCACATGAAGTTTCCACCATTAATAAGCTATACACCTGAAGGACATTTTCTTCAGAGTAGTGATACATTTTCTCAGATCTACCACTTTATTTTACAAGGTTGCTGCCTGCAGGGGGAGGTGCAGTGATCATGGTTGCAGAACAGGCAGAGATAACTAGGGGTGGGAGTATTTTTTAGTACTTTGCTTTAAAAGTATTGAACTGAATAAATCAGTCTTAGATGGCAAGTATGCAATGAAACCTGCTTCATTGGGGCATAGGTCTTCCTTTGTAGTATGAAACATATTTTAATATCAGAACCCTCTTTTCTAATTAAAAATAATTACACACAACACCAATAAATATAACAGAAAGAACGGTGAAGCTGTCTTGGTGATGGTCTGAGTTCTGTCTGCTCAGCCTCTACTGTCCCTTGGACCAAGGTCCCTAACAAGCCCCCAATCCCCTCCCTGGGCCTCAGAAAGATCCTAGGGTTTCTAGAATACAGTTTTAAAGCCAATGGTCCGTGGTGAAAAGTCCAAATTATTAATTTTTCTAGTATAATTTTATAGCTATAGATCAAACAGCTAACACAAAGTTTAGGTGTAAATGCCCTTTATGTATGCTTTTTTAAATGTACAAAACTGATTCAAATTAGTAACATCTATTCATATAAGCCCATCTAGCCTAGAAAATATGACTCTTCCTTCAAGTCTCAGCTTGGGCCTCACCTTCTGGAAGTCTGCGGAATGCCTCCCCTCAGGCTGAATTGGGTGTGTCTCCCTGGTGATTCCATAACAGCCTGTACAGTTAGTTGTCTATCAGCTATTTCTAACACGATTTTATGGTAGTCTATGTATCTCTCTCCTCCCCCGAAAAATGAGCTCTCTGTGGACAGAAATTATTCTTATCTCATTCATCTTTATATCCACCACCCCTCTGATGGTTCCTGGTACATAGTAGGGGATCAGGGAATATATATTTGAGTCCTGAAAATATTTAGGAAATTCTGTTTTACAAAAGTATTTTATCTTGCAAAATGTTTCCTCCTCAAAGAGTGACAGAATACTCAATGAGTAACTAGCAGTTGTTTTTGCCAAAAGTAGGAAGGGAGCTTCGCTGGTGAGGTGATGAGCTCTTCTGATGGAAGCAAGGATCTGACAGAGAGAGATGAGCACCTGCCACAGAAATGGTAGAAAGGACTTCTGTGTTGGTCAGCCAGATCATCTAGATGAACCCTCTGTGTCCCATCCCTTGGGACACGATTCCATTTGACAAGCACTTGAAAGCTTTCTCCTTCATCCCCAAGAGCTTCAATCTACCAGCATTCCAGAATTCTAAATAGCACAGAGATAACTTCCCAGGCCAAACTTCCCAGGGCAAAGAGTTGCCAATTTCAAATAAGGCAAACTCAAATCAGTGAGTGTCTGACCAGAGAGCTGTAGCCACTCTCCATGGGAAGAAGGGAGACTAGAAGCACATGAAAGAATATTCATCTTGTCCTTACAATACCCCTGACAGTGGGCTGGAGACTTTGACAGGTGTTTTATTTGCCCTCAAAACAGCTCTCTGGCAGTATCTTGTCCAAGGTCACAGAACACAGAAGTGTCTGATGGAACAGATACAACATGAATAACAGTTGACAAGATAATAATACTCTGTGTGTCACTTGGTGCTGTCCTCTAAAGCTCTCCATACATATCTGTCCCTGGCTCCTTGGCAACCACAATTCTGTTCTGATAACTGGGCCTGGAGCTGTAGAGGGCCTTTGTTTTACTCATTCTCTAATTTAGCCTTTTCTTTTTTATATTAAAAAAAAAGAGGAAGAGAGGCCAATCCTTTCTGGTAGTCACAGCCAATGTCGGAGTAACCAGCTTAAAAAAAAGAAAATTTGTGTACACCCAGAAAAATAGCTTTGACAGATGAGTCGAGCCCGGATACATCTATCTCTTGGCCAAGCCACCTTTTGTGTTTTTGGGTCCCCTACAAGGAGGTACATTCAAGGTATATGATGAAGGTGACTCCTTGATAGATCCCTCCCAGGAGACATAGTCTTCAAAATCATCATGGAAGGAGAAGTAGTTTAGAGTAAGAGAAAGGAAGATTTTTTTTTTTTTAAGATTTTATTTATTTAAGAGAGAGCAAGCAAGAGAGAGCACGAGCAGGGTGGAGGGTGAGAAGGAGAAGGAGAAACAGACTCCCCGCCGAGCAGGGAGCCTGATGCAGGACTAGATCCCAGGACCCTGGGATCATGACCTGAGCCGAAGGCAGATGTTTAACTGACTGTGCCACCCAGGCACCCCGAGAAAGGAAGAGTCTGATCATATTTGCTTAATTTATTTTGGGGGGGCACCAGAATTATCCCAGTTCTTTTTTTTTTTTAAAGATTTTATTTATTTATTTGACAGAGGGAGACATAGTGAGAGCAGGAATACAAGCAGGGGGAGTGGGAGAGGGAGAAGCAGGCTTCCCGCAGAGCAGGGAGCCTGGTGTGGGACTCGATCCCAGGACCCTGGGATCATGACCTGAGCCAAAGGCAGACGCTTAATGACTGAGCCAT